TGTAGGGCCTGGTACATTTTATATTTCATTCAAAAGCAGTACTTTGAGAATATGACTCATTAACAGGAAAAGGGAACACTTGCATATTGATGGTATGATTGTAAATTAGTACATCATTATGGAAAACAGCACGGGGGCTCCTCAAATAACTAAAGATAGAACTACCATATGATCCAGCCATCCCACTACTAGATATATACTCAAAAGAAATGAAATCAGTGTGTCAAGGAGATACCTGCATTGCCATTTTTGGTGCAGCATTACTTACAATAGCAAAGATATGGAATCAACTGATAAATAGTTTTAAAAATGTGATACACATGCACATACATGCACACTTAAACGGAATACTAGTCAATCTTATAAAGGAATAAAATCCTGTCATTGGAGGCAATGTGGAAGGAACTAGAGATCGTTATGTTAAAGGGAATAAGCCAGGAACAGAAAGACAGGCACCACATCATCTCATTCATATGTGGAACCTAAAACAGTTGATCTCAAAGACGTTGAGAGGAGCATGGTGGCTACCAAGGGGCTGGAGAAAGAAGGGGCTGGGAAGGATGGGGAGAGGTTGATTAATAGGTACCATTATTGTTAAATAGGAGCACGAAGTTCTGGGGTGCTGTTGTACAGTAAGATGACTGTAGATAACAATAATGTACTATCTATTTCAAAAAAAACTAGAAAAAAATAGTTTGTATGTTTTTACCACAAAAAAATAATAAGTGTTTGAGGAGACAATGTGTTCACCTTGATTCAGACATTAGACAAGGTTTGCATGAAAACATCCAGGAGGGTGAGGGTGGAGCTCAGGGACACAGCACTTCCATAGCATGCACGAGGCCTTGGGTTCAATCCCCAGCTCCTTAAAAAGTAAAACAGAACAAAACAAAGCCACATAGTACCCCCACCCCATAAATATGTACAATTTTTATGTTTTAATGCATCTCTTAAAAATTAATTTAAAATTTAAAAATATTTGAGAAGGGTACAAGAGCCAGTCAATATAAAACTGGTCTTTCTACTCTTCACTTCATTTAAAGACTTCAACACTGGAATGATACTGGCCAAACTGTATTGTTATATTGTGTGCATGTATAAATATATGTAACAATGACTCCTACCATTATGTACAACTATGATGCACCAAGAAAAAATATGAAAAAAAACCCGAAGACTTCAAAACCATTGATAAGCCCTGCATTGAGGGTCTTCATTCACTAATCTCAGTTTCCTAGTCCCACTGGGTGGAATGAGAACGATACCGTAGGAGACCAGAGCTTTGGTTCCTTGGCAAGAGACGAGGCCCAGCTGAGCAGGCTCTACCCGCCTGTGTGGCAGCTTTTGACTCTTAGGAGAAGCACCATAAACCCTGAAAGAACAGGGAAGGAGGTGGTGACAAAGGTCCAGCATGTCGAGGTGTCTTCAGGGACACAGCATGCCCTCCTTTAAAGCCTGAGTGGCAGCTCTTCCAAGAAAAGCATTTGTCCGAGTTGGGAGTGAGTGGCCATCACCACTTCTCACCCCATTGCCCACCATGCAGTCTGTGAGCTCCAGGTGACCACCGCCCTCCAGTTGATCCTTTGGGAGCCTCTGCCTTGGCTCAGAGCACCACCCTCTAGTCGTGCCATGAACCCCGTATTTCCCAGCAGATTGGCATTTTCTCCTCATTTTGTGCTGTCTTTCAAAAGAAGAAAGCAAAATGAAGCACCTCTTTTGCCACAGATGAGATTGCTTAGGTGTCTGTCATCTACTTCCCACACAAGCCGTCTCTCCCCCCGTTGGCAAAGGAGCCTGTGACACTGTCTTTATGGACCATCCTGGGGACAGGAAAACAGATGACAGAATGATACTTCAGGGAGTTAACGCTAAGTTTACTCTAAAAAATCTTGTTTCCAGTGAACAGTAAAAATGGGTCTCCAACAGTAAAAATGATTATTTGTCTGAGGAAAAGTAACATTTTACCTAGAGTCTTCCCTTTGTATCCAGGGGGGATTGGTTTCAGGATTCCCTTGGATACCAAAGTCCTTGTATGTAAAATGGCATAGTATTTGTAGAAGACCTACACAAACTTCCTGTATACTTTGTCATCTCCAGATTATTTATAATATCTAACACAATCTAAGTGCTATGTAAATAGCTGTTCAACTCCATTGTTTAGGAAATACTGACAAGAGGAAGAAGCTCCATTTGTACTTGGTTGAATCCTCAGATGCAGAATCTGTGAACAGCGAAGAACAACTGTATTTAGAAAATGACTGGACCCTTTTAAACTAAAAATCAGTAGAGAACTTCACAGCCAAGTTCATTTCTCAGCTCTTCCAAAGTCTTAGCTCTAGGGACTGGCTCTTTGTCATGTTATAGAAGACACTGAGCACGATGATCCATTTAACAAGGTTCCCAAACAAAGATTGTTTTCACGAGGTGGTTGGGGGTCCCAGAGCAGTTCAACTTCTGCTTGGTGTGTTGATCCAAAAAGTTGATCTTTTGGGAGCCTCTGTCTTGGCTCAGAACACCAGCTTTTTGGTGGCCTCAGGAGTAGAAATGTCAGCTGACTGCACTGTTTTTCCATAGAACACTAGAATTTTGAGTGTGAGTAAAAGCAGTATAATAATGTCAACAATGTCAAAGTAAAGGCCAATAAGGGGATTTTATGAAATCCTTTTATGTTGTCCATTTACCATTAAGGATGTGTTCTAACGTAATGATTAACAATGATCAAGATAATGATAATAATCATTTTAAAGACTTCAACACTGGAATGATACTGGCCAAATTGTATTGTTATATTGTGTGCATGTATAAATATATATAACAATGACTCCTACCATTATGTACAACTATGATGCACCAAATCTGACAGCTGAAAATTCAGGACAGTGAGAGTTCTAAGGGCCACATACTCTAAGGTGACACTATAAAATATAGGTGGCAATTAGCTTTAATTCACTGAGCTGGAAGCAAGTTTTATCATTCTTTTAAAGAACTACCCTCCATGCGACAGTGTCAGGTACCTACCTGGGGCCTGGATGCATTAATTATAGCCCTGAAGGGTTTTATAAATTCACCAGCCACAACAACCAAATGACAAACAGTAGTAGTTATGGGGGGTAAAAATCTACTTTAGGTCTTAGACTGTGTCTTAGAGTTGAATGTAGGCTGTAAAATTCCACACTTTTTGTGTCTTTAGGTGGTTATGTTAGTCTTGTATTTAGGACTGAGAGTGTGTAGATAAAGCACACACAAAGATTGATTTGCCTATAACATGCACGTGAATTTTCTGAAATATTATATACTCTGATCTCATAAAAACAGAAGCAAAACTTTCATATCCTGCCATTCCATTAAATTCCAAGAATATGAGATATGTCGTGTGTAAGATTGTGTTGCAATCTCTGATGACTTGGAACAGAAGGAAGATTTAGGGAAAATGAGCATGGTTGTCATTAAATGAGCAATCAGAAGTATTTAGATCCATAAACCACTTTCCCCCTCAAAAAAATGAGGCCACCTGTGTATTCACGAGCCTATTACTGTCCCGTGTGTCCTATCAGGTACTGAGGAGGCTATCATTTTCTCATTTGTTTTATGGTTTGTTCCCTGATATTTAAGAAAGGGAAAAAGACAAAAGAGGAAGAAGGAACATTTGAAATATTGCAGGTGATTCATGATCGTGATGGTCAGTGTCCGAGTCCTGTCCTCTAGAAGGGTGAATACTTGAGCACAGGAAGGAACAGCCTTTGGGTGTAAGTCCACGGCTGACCACTGACTTTCTGCTTGCCTGAGTCTAAGCAGTGTGACAGGGGTTTCAGGAGGACGCCTGCTCCCCTGGGGGTCCTTGCTCAGAATGGACTGGTTTCCTCGGTGCTCTCTCCTGGAGTCTCTCTTCTTTCAAAGTTTAGCCTAAAAGTCATCTCTCCTTAGTGCCCCTCTCCCCACTGCCACCATGCCAGCCCTCAGTCCCAAGTGGGGCTCCTGGTTCCTTCTTCTTGGTCCTACAGCTTCCCACATGTGCCTGGGGGGGGGGGGGGCTTTGTGGGGCAGGCATGGAGGGGAGGCTTTCCTTGTACTGCCATGGAGAGCAGCAAAGGAGTCCATGCAGGTGACGAACTTGTGTCTGTAGAGGTCACTCTGGCTGCAGGCAGGGAAGAATGAGAAGCACCATGAAAGGTGAGTGTGGCTAGGATGAGACTCTTAGCCATTAGGGTGACACAAAGTCACACTGGGGAACAGATTGGAGGGGACCTGCCAGTACATGGGTGCTATGTAGAAATTGAAAGTCAGAAGTCCTTGGAGCAGAGGAGATCTGGGTTGTGATTTGAACCTGGCACTGAAGGCAGGGTACTAGCGCAGCCATCTGAAGGAGGGAAGGAATATGGAGGGATTGCCACCTGGGGCCCAAGGACCAGGTTGCTATGTTTCCTGAGTCTGACTTCTATCTGTATGAATTGATTAATTTCCCATTTGACATTTTCTAAAAGCAATCCCCTTTTTTATTTTTATTTTTTATTGGTTCTTTGTAGTTAAACATGACAGCCGAGTCCATTTTGATATGATCATACAAGCATGGAATATATCTTACTCTAGTTAGGATCCCATTCTTACAGATGTACACAGTGGTGGGATTCATTGTGTTGTTTTCATATGTCAGATTCACTCCACTGTCTTTCCTTTGTCCAATCAATCCTCTTTAAGAAAAAAGAAAGAAAAACACCTGCTTCAGTCTTTCCAAGCAGGCCTAAGAGAAATGTCAGAAGCTGGAAGGAATTTGGTGATTTTTGTCTGTTATCCTTTTTCTAAGCATAAAACTTTGCACTTAGAACCACATAAACAGAGTGAATAATTTAAGTCCTTGGCTGGTTTTTATTCTCTTTTCTTTTTAATACTTAAAATGGCAAACTGCAGCAATTCTTTCTCTGCCAAACTTGTTCTTAACGAACTCTGTTATAAGAAACTGTTGTCACATGTGTGTTGAATGAATCTTTCTTTTTAAAAAATAGGTTACCCAAAGCAGAGGACTGTGGTTCCTCGAAATGGGTTTGCACCCAAGCCTGACCTGCAGGCCCGGGAGGCTGAGCGGCAGCTGGTCCAGCGACTGAAGGACAGGTGTGAACGGCAGGCCCGGCAGCTTGGCCTCATTCAGGGGGAGCTGAGGAGGGCCATCTGTGGCTTTGATGCTTTGGCCGTGTCCACTCAACATTTCTTTGGAAAGGTAAGGCCACGTTTGGTAAGGGCATCTTGTTTGGGGACTTTGACAAGGGCGTATATGGTGATGGCCATTGAGTATGTGTCGTAGTTTGAGTTTGGGGTCAGAAGGTCACACAGAATCTTCTGCAGCACCTTGTAATGTTTAGGGGCCAAGATTATCCTCATGTGTCAACAAATGTATTCTGGAAAAAATACTAGGTAACCATTATCCCCAAAGAGAAAATTATATAAAAATGAAAGGGAAGGGTACACATTAGTATTTTTAAGTTGAGATCTTTGAACTAAAATGAAAGTGAATTGTTTTCAAAAAAGAAATGGACAGATTCTGAAATTTCGGCTCATTTCCAATGAAAGGGAGGCAGGGCCTCAGCACCGCCCCTTTGGCTGGTGGGAAATGGAATGTGCAGGTCTGAGGCCTCCTATCAGGGCCATGGTCTCCGTGTTCAGAAGCAAGGGGTGTGGGATCTTTTTTGTGTTCGCTTTCTCTCTGAAAATTGCAGAAAGTGTTTTTTGCTTCTCAGCAAATGTCTGGGGCTCCTGGGGCCGTCTGGAATCTGAGTTAGTTATTAGCTGTAGAGAATGAAGCTTCCATCTCACCATGGCATAGAGTCTGGTGGCAGCCTGGTATCTGACTCTCTTAGTGCTCCAACCCCAAGAGTGCTTAGGGGTGCAACTGAATTGGAGATTTAAATACTGTGAATATCTTAGTCCATTTTCTGTTGCTATCACAGAACATCTGAGACTGGGTGTTAGTAAAAAAAAAAAAAAAAAAGGAGTTCATTTTGACTCACAGTTCTGGTGACTAGAAAGCCAAGAGCATGGTGCCAGCATCTACTCAGCTTCCGGTGAGGGCCTGCCCCTGTGCAGTCGAGGTCATGATGGGAAGCAGAAGGGCAAGCAATACCTGCAAAGAGAGGGAGGGCACAAAGGAGCTGAGCTGCTTTATAACAACGACCCACTCTCTGAAGAACTCATCTGTTCCCATAAGAGCTGATCTGGTCTTGAGACTCAACTTTGGTAACCAAATTTCTACATGTGATTTGGGGTGGGTGGGGGAGAAACCACATCTGAACATAGCAATGAATGGTCATTTTGAGTTTTACATGTGGACCTTCTGGTGCCTATAAATGGAAAGAAGTAGAAATGCAGTATAAATTCCTCCCAAATAAGAAAGTGAACTAACTGAAGTTCTGGCTAATTTAAAAATGCAGAAGAATATTAAGCAGCCCTATGTCCACTGGCTTCTGGCTTTATTTATCATCTGAGCCTTTAAGGGTAGAGCACTCTGGCTTTTATGGTATCCTACACCCTCCCTCCCCTCCAGCACGGAAGCCTGAGCTTCTCTTTTTCGTCAGCTCTTTTCTGTTTTGTTTAAAGCACTCAATGAACTGAGCCACGTGACGGGATGCAGTCAAAACAAGGTGCACTTTTAAAATATTGTAAAAAATCACCTTCGGGATATATACATATATAAGGTATATATGAAACATAAATGATTTCCATGTTTAGACTTGAGTCCCATCCCCAAGACAACTCATTATGTATATGCAAATATGCCAAGATCTGAAAAAAAAAATTCTGAAATCCAAAACACTTCTGTCCCAAGCATTTCAGATAAGGGATCCTCAACCTATATACATACATAAAGGGTTTGACCTGGATGGTACTTTAAGAATAGAAATAATTTTTCTAAATAACTTTTCTAAATATGCTTTCTATAGCTCTTCAATATGTATATTTTTCTGAATGTGCTGGTGCCACTAAGAATGTATTAAAAACAAGTCTCTTCACTAAAGAAAGGCTTAGAAGCCCAGATAAGAATCTTCCATTTCTGCCCCGTGCTTATAGCTCACGGCAGAGCGGCTGTGAGAGTTGTCAGCTCTGACACTGCCTCAGCCCAGCCTCCAGGGAGTCTGAGATGCCACATTGAGGTGTCAACACCAGCCTCACACTTGCGTTGGCTCCAGGCAGCTCTGCCCCTGCAGTCAGGCATGTTCCCCAACAGACCAAACAGATCTGCTGAAATCCATGGCCCCAGACCTCTGGGTTGGTGTAGTAATGAGTGTGACTCTCCGGGACTTACACTTCTCGGTGTCAGGTTGAAGGGTCTGAATTTCTCTCTTGCTGTGTGGTTCCTGAGAATGCAACTCTCTAGTGTCCCCTGGTGGTTAATCCATGAAACAATCCAGCAGATGATCCTAATGTACAAAGTGGTTACGTTTCACCTTGCAGTATCAAGTTTTACATGTTACATGTGAGGGTGTATTTAATTTAATTAGATTTATTATATTTTTAAATGTTTTTCATATTGGCTTTTGTCACCTTTTAACATTAATTTTATACATGTGATAGTAGGTGATGCTTTTAAATTGCTTTTTAGTTATTATTAGTTTAAGCAAAAAAAGCATAAAAACTAATGTCAAAAAAAATTTCTGTACTGTATTAGTAAGATTTCCATTACTATAATAAAACACATGAGATAATCAATTCATAAAAAGAAAAGGTTTAGCCAGGTGCAGTGGCACACGCCTGTAATCCTGGCAGCTTGGGAGGCTGCAACAGGAGGATGGCAACAATTTAGCAAGGCATCCAGCAAGACCAATTTAGCAAGACCCTGTCTCAAAATAAAAAAAAATAAAAAAGGGCTGGGGATGTGGCTCAGTGGTTAAGTGCCTCTGGGTTCAATCCCTGGTACCAGAGAGAGAGAGAAAGGGTTTATTTTGTTTTGACATTTTGGATATTCCAGACCAAGACGACCCTCTTACTTTAGGCCTGTTGTCAGGCAGCACATCATGGCAGGAGTGTATGATGGAGCAAAAGTTCTCATGTCAGGAGCCAGGAAGCAAAGAGAGAAAGACCAAAGGAGTCTCCTTCAGAGTTGCCACCTAATTACCTAAATACCTCTCATTAATTCCTACCTCCTAAGGTCGATCTACCTCCTAATAGTACATTGTGGTGACTCAGCCTTGAACACATGGACCTTTGGTAGTAGATATTCCAGATCCAAAGCGTAGCATGTACTTGCTGTGCCTAATAAAAAAAAAAAAAATCAATATTGCACTGTCTTAGTCAGCCGTTTGCCACTGTGACCAAAAGACCAGGCAAGAACAATTTTAGAGGAGGAAAAGTTTTATTTGGCACTCGTGATTTCAGAGTTGCAGATGGACACCTCCATTACTCTGGGCCTGAGGTAAGGCTGAACACCATGGCCAAAGGGTGTGGAGGAGGAAAGCAGCTCAGGGCATGACAACAAGAAGCAGAGAGAGTTCCCCTCACTGGGTACAAAATGTAAACCCCAAAGGCAAACCCTCAGTGACCTATTTCCTCCTGCCACACCCTGCCTGCCTGTAGTTACCACCCAGTTAATCCCTATAAATGGATTAATCCACTAATTAGGCTACAACTCTCATAATCTAATCACTTCACCCCTGAAAATGCTTGCTTTGTCTCACAGTGAGCTTTTGGGGGACACCTCACATCTGAACCACAACATGCATCAACCTTCGTTCTCCCAAAGTATAAAATAATCTTGTTGCTTTTACTATCTGATCTTTTGTCCCAAGTTTTTTTTTTTTTTTTTTTAAATTCAGAAGAGTGGAAAGAATTAAACCCAAATGCCCATCATCTATATTTAGCACTTATTAACATCCTACCACATGTGCTTTTTCTATGTTTAGTTGTCATTGTTGTTAGTCAGGGGTGTATATTTTCAATATATTTTATATGTATTGACTTTGACCTTTCAAACTCAATTCGCTTGAGTTATCGGAGGATCTTTGTCAATGCTTCAGATGCTGCCTCTGCATATGAAAGTGTCTATGGAGGATTCAAAAAATTAAATAAAAAGCAGAGTTCCTACATAACAGTAGAGCACCTATTGATGGACCACCTACTGTGTCCTAGGTTCTTTCCATACCTTGTTTGAATTCCCAGAATTAAATTTTTACAATTCTCACGTGGAATTGGGGGAAATGGGCTCAAGGAGATTGTGTAGCCCTCTGAAGATAATTAGAAAGTGCTGCAGCCAAGATACAAATACCCGTCGGCCCACATCCAAGTCACAAGCTTTCCACTATATGAAAATGCAAGTGCTCCCTCTCCCCACAGCCCTCAAAGTGCTTTTGATACAGTTAAGAGGGGGAAAAACCTAATTGCCAAACAAGTGGGAGGTTAATCTAAAAGTTAACACTTAACCTGGCATGCGGACAGAAAAGGACCTTAAATGATCTTAGCTGGTTGCCATAGAAATCCTCTGTGCTTAGAGGAAAGCTGGATACTGTGAACAGGAAGGAGGCTTGGGAGAGCCAGGATGGGGAGGGGGTGGCACTTGGGGCAAGTCAAGAGGAAGGAGGAGCATATGTGGGAAGGGAATTCCCAAAGCCCACGGTCTGCTGCTTGGGGTCCCCTTCCCTATCTGTAAGCTCTTGGCAAATCGGTTAATGGTTTATGAACAGAGTTAGGCCTGGGGAACTGTTCTGAGAAGTTCAGTGATTGTCTAGGATGTGTGGATCTGGCCCAGCTCCATTTTTAATGCTCCACAAGAAAGCAGAATTCTTTACCAAAGGATTCTACCTGTTTTTCCTCTCTTCCTCTTGACCATTCTTGGATCAGGTCAGGCGGGTGGACTAAAGAGGAAGAAAGGAGAAACAGAGATAGAATCCGTTATAAAATGCTTACTTCCTTGCCTTAACCATGTAATGCATTCAGATTTTAAATTCGGGAATTCATCAAGATGAATGTCTGCCCTCAAGTTCCAAAAGCAGGAGAGAAGCCATTGTGCCCACCAGCCAAGGGAGTCCAATTTCAGAGATGTCCCGCTCAGTGGGGCTATCAAAGCAATAATTCCACCTGATCAGAATTAGAAATTTTAAGCTCTTTGTAGCTCCTTAAATCCTAAAAAAGGAACACGTAAATATAGTATTTTGTGCACCACCCCCTTATAAACTGTACCCTGCAGTTATCCTCTTTTGGTCCCTTAATTTATCTTGAATAACCTAAAGCTTA